CCCCCCACATACCCCATTACAGTCACTGTCCATCGGCGTAGTAAGATGCTACAGAATCACTACTTGTCTTCTCTGTATATACTGCCTTTCCTGTGTCCCCCCCTCCCCCCCATGTGTTAGCACTTCTTTTTTAAAGTTTCCGTAATCCTGTGCCATTTGGTATTATTTTTTCCAAAGCAACACATGACTATTTTCTTCAACAGGCAATTTTCTTTTCATTTATCGTGTGGGTTGTTAGACTGAAATGTTTTGCCTTTTTTCACAGGCCTTGCTATATTTCTTGCCTACTATAGAATACCTTCCTTATTTATTTTCCTCTCAAGAAAATCAAATTCCCAAGTATTTCATTCGATAAAAACAGTTAACTTAATCTACTAGGAATATTTTGTTTTCTTGCTTTACCAGTTCTTAAATTTTGAAGTAACTGTTACTTAGACATAACTGTTGAAATGCAGCAGTGGTCTGCTGCCCCACCCCGTCTCCCTCCTTTGCTTGCCTCCCTTACCAAGGAGAAAAGAACATGATGTACAATAGGAAAGCGGTAGTGTTTAGCTAATTATTTGCTGATAAAATCTGTTTGAAAAAACAAATGATGTCTGTGTTTCAGAAACCCTCAATCTCTTTCACACACACAGAAACAAAAAGCCTGTATATTTGGTTATTTCTCTGAATCACTTTTATACATAGTTTAGTTGCTTTGGTTCACCAACTAGCATTGGAATGGAATGGGGTCAAGATCATCCATCCTAAAACAAATATTTGTTTTACTCATTTATTTGAGTATATTCCTAAAAGAACTTTAAAGGATGGTGCTGTGCAGTTATAACTTAAAACTATGGACACAAATTAATTGGTACTAATAATTTTCTCTTATTGATGCTTTATATAATGCTTTTGTGATAATTTGTAGTTGTACCCTTAACACATACACACACATACCCCCTCTGGACTTACCCTTTGGACTTTTCTGTATTCGTTGCCCTTTTATCCCCTTTCTTAGACCAGATACTCCAGTGAAGTTGGCCCTTGGTTTGGATATTTTTAATTAGAGCTAAGGTGCAAATTTACTGCCAGCTACATTTTTGCTGTCTAAGGGCTCTTCCTTCCCTTGCTTGATGTTGAGCCTTTTTTGATCATGGGAATCACCTTATCTTACTGTACATTTCTTGGTCATCTGCCTCTTGTTATTAACTGCTCACGGAGCCTCAAAGAAGAACGCCAAAAAGGAGTTCAACTGAGGGGCAGACCTCAGGCAACAAGAGCTCATCCTCAATTTGTCTTACTGATTAATGAAATTATTACTGAATTCTGACCTTGGATTCTTGTGAATTTTACACCCTCCTTTCAGCAGTTTCAATTCAGGGCCAGCTTGCCTGCTTAGAACTTTCCATTTATCACAGAAGAAATCCCCCCTCTCATTTCCCATAGTTCTGAGCATTGTGGGTTGATGCATAGTGAGTGAGCTACTTGTGTGCTTAGTATCAAATAGTGATCTTGGTAAATGCTCAAAACTTCCCCAGAGGGGAATTACATTAATGCAAAGGTGCAAAATTAAAGGCATTGCCTTAGCTTAAATATTAGGACGTGTCCTTCATTGTGTATGATTCCATCATTTTATAGGATTTTGGGGGAGTCTGTTGTATTTTCTACTTAAAATTTTGCTTTAAAAAAAAATGCTTCCCTTCCTCCACTTTTAAAACAAGTGTTTGTAAGGAGGGTACAAGGAGGTAGTCGAGGGCTTGTTAAACAACTGAGCTATTCTGTGTGTTTCATACTGCTTGCAGTTGTACTGCTGTCAAAAATGGAGGTGGATCCAGGAGGTCTTCACCAGAACCTGTTGGTCCTGGAATACCTGGTTGCTCCTGGGGGTGGGTAGAGCAGAGCTCCCCTTTAGTGGTCTCTGGTATAGCCCTCAACAAAGCTGTGTCCATTCTTCGCTTTACAGACTATTGCTCAGAAGAGAAGATGTTTGGTTTTCACAAGCCAAAGATGTACCGGAGTATAGAGGGCTGCTGTATTTGCAGAGCTAAGTCCTCCAGTTCTCGATTCACCGACAGTAAACGCTATGAAAAGGACTTCCAGAGTTGTTTTGGGTAAGATCCAACTGATACAGAGGTGTCATTTTTTAATGTTTGTTCTTAGAGTGAAAAATATCCCAGCATATGGAAATATTTTCCAAGCAAGGGGACTGGTTGGAGCAATGTGCTAATAATTAAAATCACTTATATTCAAATCTAGGCTTTTTTAAGACCCTTGTGCTTAAATATTGACAGGCTTTTTTCAGGAACTAGCAAATTAATTGTGAAGCCCCTTGTAGGTAAAACCAAACAAACCCTTTTCTTGTTAACTTCAGGATGTATAAAGAGATTTTCAAAATGCTACTTTTATTCTTATTTTAAAATAGCTGTCCTCCAACAGTTTTCTGTCTTTTGTATTGTTTTTCTAAATCATTGAAATACATTTTAACCCAACCTGCTGAGGATACTAACAAGACATAATGTTCTGTCTTGAAACCTATCAGATTATGGTAGCTTTTTATAATTTTGTTTCTCATTTATCCTTGGACAACAAACGTCTGATTAATAAAATGGAATTTACTTTTCAGCAAATGCTTGATAAAATATTAAATGTTGAACCATTATCCCATGTTAGAAATTAATTTCACCACTTTTTCTTATCAAAACATTTGTTGATTATTGTTAATCCTGGACTTCAGTTATTTTGAATGTTGACAAAAAAGTCTCCAACAAAAAAGTCTCCACCAACGTGGCCTTCTTTAAATTAAAATTTTCTCAATGTATTTATTTCCAATTTTATTCATAATAAAAATCAGTATTTTTCTTTTTGTATTTACAATACAGGGAAAACGTAGTAAATCAAAGTTCCTCAGTATAATTAAAAAACAGCTTGGTGATTAGTCCTATAGATCTTCCCCTCCATGCAGATACAATAATTTTTTATAAGTTACAATGCCTCTCTGGTTTTGTTTGTTGTGAAACTAGAGCATCAGGACACATTATTTTACTTAAAGGGTAGCATTTTGTTGCTTATGAAGTGCCTACACATTTCAAGAAAGATTAATTTGACAGCATCGTTTAAAACCATGGTGACTAGGATCTTAGATCTTAAATTCTAATTTTTAATTTTAAAAACATTCTTTAAAATGACTAATTATAGTACACTGACTTGGTCTAAAAGTTATATTTCCTAAATATATTACAGTAACAATTGGATTATCCAGGACAATCAGAAATAGCATATATAAACTATAAATAGTTTTTCTGAAAGAACTGTACTCATATGAACTATTTAATGATGATAATCTTTATTATTATCTGTGGACTCTTTAATAATAAAGGTTTGATTTCTTACCAGGTTGCATGAGACTCGTTCAGGAGACATCTGCAATGCCTGTGTCCTGCTTGTCAAAAGATGGAAGAAATTGCCAGCAGGATCAAAAAAAAACTGGAATCATGTTAGTTCATCTTTCATCTTACCTTTATACCTCTGTTACATCCAAAGTAACAATTTTCTTCCTAATTAGGAAGTAATATGTCCATAGGGTGGAAAAGTTTGAAAAAAATAAAGGAAAACATTAGCTGTTGCTCAAATATGAATCACTTAACCTTTTGGCATGTTTTAGAGCAAACTAGCTAGCTCAGTGTGACATTTCCCTAAGGCTGTATCCAGTATCGCCAAATTGGAGATTCATAGTACATTTCACATATTTTTTAGATTAACCTAGAAATTCCTAGAGTTTAGTAGACATGGATCCTTTTTTCATTTGTAAGGAGAACCTTTATCCCAACTCCTGTGGGTACTACCAAGCACATGCATTCAGCATCAGAACTGGATTCGAGTCCTTCCTTCACCGTTTATAAGTGGTGAACTTTGAGCAAGCCACATTTATGTATAAAGTGCAAAGATAATTGCTGTTTCCTAGAGCTGCTGTGAGAATGTATGTAACACATCATAATCCCTCAGTTACATGAAGTCACTGTTACTCTCTGTGTTTAATCTAGTTGGGATCAAACTGGTATGTAAATGTGTGTTGTTTGCCTGTTCACTTTATGATGATACTAGATTCTTGACAAAATAACTTTGAATGACCAGAACAGCGTGGTTAAGTCTTACTTAATCCTTCTATATGCTAGCTCTCAGGAGATGCATGACATGTATACAGATTGTTTTTAATCAGGTATTTGTTTACTCATTATCTTTTCTCCTACACTAGCCTTATACTGTCCTTTGATGATAATCTTGCATTATTATGATAGGTTTCTGTAGATCTGTTAACATTTAAAAAAGTGAGTTTTTCTGTAATTAATACATTATCTGGAGAAAAATCCAAATTGTGGTTTTGAAGTGATGGTGACCTTTTTACATAAGGGTAGAAATCTGCAAATAGAAAATGGGAATGAATGCATGAGAATGGGACCACACAGGGCTAGACTGTGGGAGAACATGCCATTGCCATCATGTAAATGACCTTAGATTAAGGTTATGTGGTGAAAGAGCATAAAGCATAGATCTGAAAACCTTGATTTGAGTCTTGACCCCTTCCCTGCCCACCCAGGGCCACTTCCTAGCCTGGTGAAATCAGGCAAAATACCTAATTTCTCATTTTCCTTCATCATAAAATTTAGAGTAACAAAAATAGCCCCCTTATGGTTTGTAGTGAAGGTAAAATAAAAGTGTATGAAGGCTTTTTGGAAAATTGCAAAACATGATCCTGGAGAAACTTTAGTTGTTGTTTGGCTTCATATTTCTTAACCTACTTGGGTCTCACCATACATCAATTTCTTCAAATTTTTTTGCCCAGCAGTCTCTTGGCATTGACTACTTGAAGAAAAAAAAAAACACTAGGTAAATTATTCTTTAATACCATGTGGTGATTAAAAGTGCACATGGCTGTCAAACATTCTTGAATAGAAAACTGGTTCTCAAATTTGACTCCTTTAAATAGGCATTTGTTGAGCAGGAATACAGAGGTGTCATTTTTTAAATGGTATTAAATATTCAGTATTTTCTTCCAGGTGGTAGATGCGAGGGCAGGACCCAGTCTGAAGACTACATTGAAACCAAAGAAAGTGAAAACTCTGTCTGGAAACAGGATAAAAAGCAACCAGATCAGTAAACTGCAGAAGGAATTTAAACGTCACAGTAAGTTTGATACTGATGAGTACTTAGGATAGTTGTTTTGTTTTTATTTTTGTCTGGGTGGGGCATTTGGTATGTAGGGATCATTTTATAAAAAAAGTGTTGGAATGCAATATTGACTTGGTAGAGATACTATTTTATTATTATGAAATCTTGGAACGCTACCTGATTTTGATGGAATAAAAGGACTTGCACTAGCTGGCCATTTCTTCAAACTGTGATGAGACCACTTTGACCACTCTGATTCCTTTCTTTATTGATTTTTAAAATTAAATCATTTACTTAATTTAAATTCAAATTTTAATTTTCTTGATGAATTTGTCAAGCTTGTTCACTTGATTTTATGCTTAAGGATATTGAGGCTTGGAGATGTGCAGAACAGTGTGTACATGATTAGTAGATAATCTGAGAGCAAAGCCCAGATTTTCTGGGAAGTAGCTTTAGATGTCATATCACACCTATATTCCGGTAAAGCCAGCCTCGGGACTTTTCAGGTTTAGCGGGCAGTGTGTGTTGTGAGGGATGATGGAACGAGAAAGGAATGACTAATATCAGGTCTACGGACTCTTCATAGGAAGTTGTTGGGGTGGGAGGGCACCTTAGTGGTAACTTCTCTATCTGGGAATGAGATTTCAGATTTTGAAAAGGAAATGCAGGGCATGTAATATTATTACATAACATTTGTATCACCCCCCCTCCCCCAGGGAGGCAGGAAGGGGGGGTCTGAGGCAGCACTATTAAATCAAATACATTAGTGTTTCTGCAGCAAGAATGTATGTATTCACATCTACAGGCTAGTCAGGTTTTGCTACCTAATTATATAGTTCAGGTCAGGTCAGATTTTGTGGCCACATGGGTTAGGAATAAACTGTTTCCAGAACTTTTTCCAGAACTATAGATACGGGTTGTAGATATGGGTCCTGTATTGGAATTTTCAGGATTAAAAAAAAAATCTGTGTAGACAAAATACTTTCAGTCAATGTTTGTTTTAGAATAATGGAAAAGGAAAGTTAAACTGACTGATAGGTACAGTGAGGAAAGAAGCCCTATCATCTTGAGCATTCTGGTATATGTACTGAATACTGTACATACATAATTACCTCAATATTAGGATAGGAAGTAGGGAGTGTTGATTTAACCTTGACCCAGGTGTCTTAATGAGTGGAAGCGTGAATTTGACCTTGAGTTTGTCTGAGTTGGAGCCCTGTGCTTGCTCTGCAGTAGCTGGGGTAGAAAATACAATGCCCAGGTCTCTGAAGTCCTCCCAGGTCTTCTGCTAATGTTGTGCTCTCCTCGTAAGCGGGTGTTACTAGTCCTAGTTACTACTCTGAGGATATATGTAATCTTTGGCTAAAATATTTTGAGTATATTTATGGTAAAATAAAATTATGTGTGTCCTTTCTTAACGATGTATCACAGGGGAGGCAAGGGAAAAGACCACCTTTAACTTACCCTCCATGCTCACTAGATGCTTTCACGAACATTTGGGAAATAGCAATTTTTTCTTCTATGCCTCTTAGAAAAGAAACACTAAAAATAAATGAAGTGATACGTATCCAGTTTAAAGGTGAATGAAGCCCAGTATTAAAAAAAGTAAAAGCAAGGTTAGAGGAATTAATTATTCATGTATGTTCTTAGCCTCCTCCCTTTACTTATAGGGAAAGTGATAACCTAATTTTTGCCTTATCTAAGGGAATATGTCCAGTGTAATTTAAGATTTTTCTGATAAAGCTGTATTGTGGAGGAGTTGAACACTAAAAATAAGTCCCTTTGAAAAGGTGTGTGGGTTTGGGTTTGGGAGACTCTGTAACTGGGTTTTCTCAGGTGTGTTGTGAATTGCTAGTGTCTGTGTACGAAATAACAGTTTTGAGATAATTAGAATTTGTATACATCACCCATAAATGATTTCCCTACCTCTGGTTAATTATTTGCTTCCATGTATTCTGCACTTACCTGACCTGTATTCCTCTTTTTTGAGATGTTCTTTCCTTTGTGGTGTACTAGAAAGGCAGTGGACCTGGAGCTTGAATGAAGATCTGGATTTGATACAGTTCCTGACACTTACAGATATGTGACTCTGATGTCACTTAACATTTAACCACATTTAACCACAATTTCCTAATCAGAGAAATGGGGATAATCAAGTAAAAAAGGGTTTTGTAAAACAAAACATTTCATTGTAACTGTTAGCCATTCTTCTTGTCATCCTTCTCTCTGAAATCCACGGTAATTTCTGGTTGCTGTAAAATAAATTTGAAAATATCTAGCAAGTCTTTGGAGGTCCTATTTTAGGCAAAGAATATTTGGGCTGAGTCGGTCCGTTCCTGTGCCTAGTGTTCTGCTTGCGTGACTTTGATTATCCTCCCTGTCCAGCCTGTACTGTCTAATACCCCTTTGTGCCTTCCCAGATCCTACCTTATTTTTAAGATTTAAAAAATTGCAGATCCTTGAGGGATTTCTGAATCTACATTCTAGAAGAGTTTTTTCCCCCTAACTGCATTTGTATAGTTAGTTGTATCCTAGTATTCCAGGTATTGGATTAAACTATGTGAAATGGCTATTTTTATAGGTAGGAAATGGTCGAGTAACTGCATTTTCAAGTGGATCATAGATAGGAAGCGCTTCTTAGGGTACTGAGCTTTGAGCTTAGAGCTGAAAAGTCTTTTAAACATTCCAGTAGACTATACAAGTCTTTGAGGATTTTGTTTCTTATGAAGTTAAGCTATTCATACATTGGAATAAAGTGAATGTATTAAAAACACTCATGGTGCTTTCTTAGGTATACCTGATTTTATGCTGTTTTATATAAACTTGTGTTACTACAAAACACTTGTGAGCTCTGTTTAGGTTTAGTCTTTTTCTTCCCATGAAGGATATGACATGGGATTTGATGTCTAGTAGATACTTAATATTTGGTTGGTTCGCTGAATTGGAGGCTTGCTGTAGCCACCTATCCTGGGAGGGGGAAGTCTTTAGCTGAAGGTAAGATGTGTGGTAGGCTCAACCACTATTTGTGATACTGCTGCTGCTGTGGAACAATAGTAGTATATATAGCCATGAAGCACAGCAACTGCATGCAGCCTTGTAAATTTATATGAAGTCTTTTGAGGGTAAATATCCTAGATGATGTTCAAATTATATTTGAAGAATTGTCTTTATTCCTTAACTGAACCAGGACCTGTGGTTTTCCCCTAGAGGTAAGGTGCCATTTTTCTTTTAGTTGCTTTCAAGGTTTTGGTCCTCAGTTTTCAGAAGGTGAGTTATGACGTGTCCTGGCACTGATTTCTGTGGGTGTATCCTCTTTGGGGTTTGCTCAGCTTCTTGAATCTATAGGTTTCTGTCTCTTGCCAAACTTGGCAAGTTTTCGGCCATCCTATTTCTTTGAGTACTTTCTCACCCTTGCCCTCTTTCTTCTGTCCTTCCGGGCCTGCAGTGACACAGATGTAGGTGTTCTGTTACAGTCCCACAGATCTCCAAGGCTCTGTTCATTTGTTTTCTCTGTCGTTCAGGCTGGATGATTTCTGTTCTTCTTTCTTGCAGTTCACTCATCGTTGCCTCTGTCCCTTCATTGTGCTGTTGAGCGCATTCACTGACTTTGTATTTCATTTATTGTATTTTTTCTTTAAAATTTCAGTTCTACTTCAATTTTTTTTTTCCTTTTTTACTGAGACCTATTTACTGAGGCAGTGTTTTCATTTGTTTCAAGTGTGTTCATGATGGCTCACTGAAGTACTTCTGTTGTGACTGCTTTATGGCAGATAAGTTATTATCTATTTGCCTCTTCATTCACTTTGAGATCTGGGTTGCAGATATGATGTGGTTTTTGATTGCATGAAACCTAGACATTTAATTATGTTATGAGACTCTGGGTCTCATTTAAATTTCTGTTGTAACTGGCTTTTTGACACTTCTCCAGCAGGAGGGTGGAGGCAGGGCACCCCCTTGTTACTGTCGGAGAAGTCAGGTTTCCCACTCTTTGTCTGAGGTGGGAGTAGCTCCTCCCGGCTGGGGGTGGGGGTGGGGGTAGGCATGGGAGGTGAGGCCCCACAGGGTGGGCTGCTCCCATTCCTCTTGGGCCATGCCGGAGGTCCTGCTTCTCTGGAGGGCCCTTCTGATACCACTGGGGGGTGTTGGGGGGCCCTCACAGCAGTCTCTCAAGGAGGGAAATCTAGGCTCTGCACTTGGTCTTTGCCAGGGTGGTTTGGGGTAGGGGCCTGTTTTGTTTCTGGCATTCGGCCAAAGTAGGTTGGCTCTGTCTAGTCCGAGTCCCCCTCTTCCTGGGCTGTCCCCTCCTGGGCCTTCAGGGAGAGAGCAGGCATCGGTCCTCTTTTTTTTTTTTTGGTTGGCACCCACTGCCTGGGGTTGCTACTGCCTGGGATTTCTGAGGTTAGAAGAAAAACTAGGGGACTCACCATTGTGTTCTTCCCTGGGTCTTGAGCTCCCTGTCTGTTGGCAGCTTTCAGAGTCTTTAGGTTTGTTTTATGTGTAATGCCTGGAGTTTTTAGTTGTACGTATTAGCAGGAGGAATGGGGAGAAGTGTGTCAATACTCTCATCTTCCTGGAAGCTTAGGTCGTTTTCTTTTGGAAACATTTTAATACAGATGCCTTCAAATTAGTAGCGAATAGAAAACACATTCTTCCTTTTTCTTCTTTTTACTAACTCAGTTTTCTTACGCTGAGGCTTAGTTGTATATAATGAAATAACACATTTTTTTCTCTTGCAGATTCTGATGCTCATAGTACCACCTCAAGTGCCTCTCCCGCTCAGTCTCCTTGTTACAGTAACCAGTCAGATGATGGCTCAGATACAGAGATGGCTTCTGGCTCTAACAGAACACCCGTTTTTTCCTTTTTAGATCTTACATACTGGAAAAGGTAAAAGCAACAGAAAACCTCTTTCTAACCAGCAAACCTAAATTGTAGGCAGCAGTTTCCCACTTAGCAATGAAATGGCATTTGGTAGACAGCTGATAGTACACGTGGTTAGAGTTGGATTAAGCAAGAATTGAGCTGAGAGTTGGGTTTTTGTGTGCCTTTCCTGTTGATTTAAAAAAAGTCATGTTAGGTAACCTAAATTTCCTACAGTGGAATAGACTGGGCATTCATTCCCACTACCTCTCCCACTGAGAAAAGTAAAATGTCTAGAAATATGTATTTTTTTAAGTTTTTGAAAATGCATTGATAAGTGGGCAATTAATACGGAATAACCTGAGACCAAATGCTAAGTGAATATGGGACCTCAAAGTCAAAAAAAAAAAAAAAGAAGATAATGGACTAGGAAAGAGAAAATACTCAAAAGAGAAAGTGGTTAAGGATTTTCTGGTTCACAGATCCAGGAAGACTAACAAATTATGAGCAGCATAGTAAGCAATTATCTTACGGGTGAAGAAAATTGACTCATAGAATTAAAACTATAGAACTTGAAAGACAATGTAGATCTTTAAGCAGTGGGAAAATAGACATTATTTTCAAAGGAACAACAAACTCAAAGATAAGTTCACAGCAAGAACAAAGGAAGCCAGAAAAGACAGATTAATATCTTGAATGGGCCAAGAGATAATAGCTGTCAACCTAGAATTATATATGTGGAGCAAAAATACCCTGTGAACAGAGGGCATAAGACTTTTGACTAGAAAAGAAAATTCAGAGTTAGCTGCCAAGCTGACCCTCAGTAATGAAAATTCTTCAGGGATTCAATTGGGAAAAGAGACCCCAGATTAAAATTCTGAAAAAGATAAGTAAACCGGCAAATATTTAGGTAAATTTAAATGAACACGGATGGTTTAAAGTGACCGTAGTTGTGGGTGTTAAAAAAAAAAAAGAAATATGTAACTACAGTAATGTAAGTTAAGGTAATAGAAATGATAGGAGTTTGCATTGTTAAGAATAAATAAATTGGATTTGATGAACTATGTAATTACTGAATAAAAATAAAAGTGTAAAAACTATGGAAGAGGGAAGGGCAGAGAGTTTAGAAATGTAAGTAATAAAACAAAATGATAATAGAAAACCTCCATGTGTTTGTAAATTAAGAAGTCATGTATCAAAGGGGAATATGTGTAATGTAAGTCAGGAAGTCTTTATAAGTAAAAAAACAACCAAAACATACTACAATTCAAAACATGAGATATGAAATCAAAGAAGCAGAGGAAAAGTTGATGCCTTTTAATGCCTCTTAGAAAAGAAACACTAAAAATAAATGAAGTGATATGTATCCAGTTTAAAGGTGAATGAAGCCCAGTATTAAAAAAAAGTAAAAGCAAGGAAATCCTCAGAATTCAGTCGAAATAAATGGAGTAGAAAACCAGTTCACAGTGAATAGGATCAGTAAAGCCAAGAGTTGTTTTTTGAAAAAGACATGACCAAAAAAAATTACTAGAGGGAAACACTGGGTCAAGGAAAAGCTACGTTCATGTATGCATGAGCATCTAAGGTAAGAAAAGAGATTTAGCTGTAGATGATGCAGAAATTTAGAGACAATAGGATATTATAAACATCTGTGTGCCAATAAATTTGAACATACAGGTAAAATAATCAGTAGAAGAAGACAGTTAACCAAAACTGGCTCAAGAAAAAAAACAGAAAACCTGAATTCTCATAATAAAGAAATTGATTCTGTGGCCAAAAAGTGTTCCCTCAAAAAATCCCAGGCCCAAATAGGCAAGTGCTAGCAAACATTCCAGAAACAAATGAATCTTGGACTGGCCATTTCAGATTACAGATGAGAGGGCACAGGCCCCAAGGCTTTTATGAAGCTAACGTAACTTGACAGAAGCGGTATATCATAACCAGATTAAATTTATTCTCAGTATTTAAGATTGGTTTAAGCATTAGAAAATGAAATAATAACAATTAGCCACACTGACAGTTTCTAAAGGAGGGGAAAAAATGCTGTCATCTGAGTGGTACATTGAAGATACTTGATAAATTTTAATGTTTCATCTCAGGGTTTAAAATCTTTTAGTAAAATTGGAATAGAAGAGGACCACATTGATAAGTAATTGGCATTTTCGAGTGAAGATAAACATGTTCCCATTTCTATCATGGCAACAACCTAGAAAGAACCTTTGGATACAGTGATATGTACAGAGTGTATGTAATAGAAATTTTCCCCTCCTAAGGAGAGTGGATGGATAAATTGTGTGTTCCCCTCATGGAATACTGTGCATGCTGTGAGTGAAGGTGCATACCTAATATTAAGGAGAGAATGAGATGGGGTGGAATTGGGGAAGGGCGTGCAGGGGGACTTCATAGGGAGAGACCATTTTTACACCTTAGAGTATGTGATCCATGTATGTTGTCACTTTCTAATGCATAATCTTAATGTATATTTGCTAATACTTGAATATGTTTTTATCTACTTAGTATTAAAATAAACCATTAGCTGAATCAGCCTGTTGATTGTGGCTGTTTTTCTTTCGAGACTTGGTGATTTTTGGAGGAAACGGTTTACAACTTTAGGAGCAGCCTCTGGAACCAGTGTGTTCCAGAAGCCTTCTTCCTCTTAATGCTTAATGAGATTCCAGTGTGAGATTTAAAGCACCTGGGTAATTCTTACTCCCTAGCTAATTGGGGTCCCTCTAAGGAGCCCGTTCGTTTGGAATGTGGTGAGATTGTGGAAGTGGAACCTTTCGATTGTGTCAGATTTATGGTGATGAATGTAGATTTGTTTCTTTTTCTTTTGTATTCCTGTTTTCCTGCATGTTAATTTATTTTGCGCTCTCTCCATTTTTTTCTTTTAGACAGAAAATATGTTGTGGGATTATCTATAAAGGCCGTTTTGGGGAAGTCCTCATCGACACACATCTCTTCAAGCCTTGCTGCAGCAATAAGAAGGCAGCTGCCGAGAAGCCGGAGGAGCAGGGCCCAGAGCCTCTGCCCATCTCCACCCAGGAGTGGTGACTGAGGTGTTTGCAGAAGGGGAACCAGAAAACCATCTACATTTTGGAAAGGAAACAGAGCAACAAAATCCTGATATTTTTAACCTGGATTACCTGCTATTCTGCCAAAAGACAATTTCTAGAATAGTTTTGAATGGGTTATTTCTCTTCCAGTTCCACAAACTCTGAAGCCAGTGTCTAGCTTACTAAAAGAAAAAAAGTGTACATAATATTTAAGATGCTGAGTATTTCATAGGAAAGCTGAATGCTGCTGTAAAGTGCTCTTTAAGTCTTTTTTTTTTTTAATCCCCTTCTAATGATTGAAACTAGGGGAATTTCAGGGGACAGAGATGGGATTTGTTGTATGATAAACTTACGTAGTTTTAGTCTTTCTATATTGAGAAGCAGTGGTTGGGGCATTTAAAAAAAAATGGCTGGCTATACTTGTTTTCCTTCATGGTAATAAATTCGCCATAACTCGGTAACATGGACTTGCCCCTAGAGGTAGTTGTTAATAATTTTGAAATAATAAGGTCTTGCCTAGGTTCTGATGATTCAAACCTGTACTACTGAATATTAAAAGCAGGACAGACTAAGCTCTCTTGCAAAAACCTTGAAGGAGTAATTTTTAAACATACAGAGAGGTAACCTGACTGTATATGTTGCATCCGTGTCACCTCCCTCCGTACTGATATTTGATAAAGACTTTATATGAAACTTGTAAAGCAGAATCAGAGTTCCTCTTGGGGAAGTGTCAAGCCTTCAGGATGAGCAGTCCTAAGTGAATAGTACCAAAGCATCACCACATGGTAGAGAACACACTATTAAAAATGTTATCTGAGAAACACGGTGTGCAAATCTTCAGGATGGCACAAGTGAAAAGGTGAATGCTTCTTGGGGCACATTTCTTAGAGGGCTTGTTGAGTGTGTAAATAATTGACTCGATTGTGTTACATGACCGGTGACTTCATTGAAAATCTGCACAATTCAGTTTTAGTTCTGGATTACTTCAGTTGACCTTTGTGAAGGTTTTATCTGTGTAGAGTGGTTGTTTGACTTGTTTTAGCCTATTAGGGTTTTGGGTTTTTTTTCACTATATTAAAGTTTAATTCTACTAAAAGAAAAGAGGTGTGTGTGAATGCTGAGTGGGTTGCTTTTGGTTTGGCTTCTTTTAGTCAGGCTTTGTCCTGATGCTGAGATACTAGGTCATAAATCCTGGTCGCGGAGCTCTGCGAGACTGAAGCCATCACTAAGAGTCTCTTACTTGAACCCAAACCAGAGCGCCCTCATTGCCTCTTTTCGAAAAGTTCAGGAACAGTATATATACCCCCATTCAGATTTCATGAGGGAGGATCAGCCTGCCTTACAATAACGTGACTCAATGCTTATTTTTGAAACTGGATTTAAAAAATTGGATGGTATAAATAATGAGTGAGCCACTTTTTATGGGCACCCTGTAGTTTTATAGTTCTTAATCTGAAACTTAAAATTTTATATTTTCTTCCTTTTGGAAAAAACTACAAGCCACCATATGCACAGACTACACAGTGAGTCGGGCCGGCTCTCCCACAGCCGTTGAGGTGTATTCCAAGAGTCCCAGCCATTACCATCTTCCTCCTGAGTTCTTTTGAAAAGGTTTTTAAATTTTTTTTGTACATTTTGGCTGCAGTATTGGTGGTAGAATATACTATAATATGGATCATCTCTACTTCTGTATTTATTTATTTATTACTAGACCTCAACCACAGTCTTTTTCCCCTTCCACCTCTCTCTGCCTGTAGGATGTACTGTATGTAGTCATGCACTTTGTATTAATATATTAGAAATCTACAAATCTGTTTTGTACTTTTTATACTGTTGGATACTTATAATCAAAACTTTTACTAGGGTATTGAATAAATTTAGTCTTATTAGAAAATAAAAGAAGCTGTTCTGTGGCTTTGTTTGAAAGGCATTCTTAGATAAGAATAAAGAGTGTTTTGAAGGCCTTCACAGACACTCAGTGTAAGCCCTTAATATTGTATAAGAAGACCTGAAGGAAAAAAAAAATCCTTAGAAATAGACTTCAAAATGAAACACATTTTAACTGATACAGCAGTTAGCATAGTGGGTAAGATGACTGTAACAATGAAGGACAGAATGTGTCTAGTGTTTTCATGTCTGTGATGTGTTTTTATTCTCTACGGGCATAGTGGGAAGCAACCCTGAAACGTGAGAAAAACTATAATATAAAACTCGGTTACAGGGAAAGATGGCTTTTGGGGTTGGGGTCAGACCTGGGCACTCTAATTCCTGGCTCAGCCCTTACTAGCCATTTGAGGCAGCTGGCCTTGGTGAGCCTCCGAACTTCTGTAACAGTTTAATTGACAGAATCATTGACTTCACAGAATGATGAGGCATGCAGGGGTGTACTCCATGTGGAAGTCTGAAGCAGGTTGCTTATTGCCTGGGAAAGGTAGATCCTGTGGGTGGGACTTCGTATACTGCTATTGGGTCTTAAATCGGCTTTGGTTAGCCCAGGTGATAGTGCCAGCACCTGGTTGAGCTCCTATGAAGTTACCTTGCTAACCTGGGCAGTGGGGGGGATCACAGCACCTAAATGACCTATTGCTATGTATTCAGTGGTTTAAATTTGTTTCTATCTTGCACAGCATAGCCGGTCCTTTGCGCAGGGTCTCACAAGGCTGCAAGAGAGTGTCAGCTGGGTTGCATTCTCACAGGTGAAGGGAATACTCTCCCAGACTCACTCAGGTGGTTGGCAGAATCTATCTCCTATGGCTTTGGGAGAGAGAGCTCAGACTTTCTGGCTAGGTGCCCCTCAGTTCTTTGCCTCCCGGGGTCCCCTTAACACAGCCTCTTGCTGCATCAAGCCAGCTGGTCTCCAGGGCCAGTCTGCTGGCAAGGCAAGTCTTCTCAGGTCCTGCCCATGCTCAAGTGGAGAGGAGTACACAGCGGGCACCAAGAGCTGTATTTGGGAATCACGAGAGACAACTTGAGAGTCGTCCGCCACAGCATCTCATTTTTCTGTTGATTGAGTCACTTGAAATTGGGCCTCTATCCTACATCACCAGCATTTTGTGTAACAAGTAAAAAGAAAAATCGCTCCCACTGTGATGAAGCACCTACTGTGGGTTGGGTACTTTGAAACATCTTTTAAAGAACTGCAAAGTAAGAAAAAACCCAATCGGTTCACAGGTAAGTGGAGTTGGCCGTGTAACGTAAGTGAAGTTAGCTTTTCTGACTCCAAAGCCTTTGTTGGGCAAACGACCCTGTCCCTGCTCTAGGCTTCAGGCTGTCTTAACGCCTTTGGAAATGATTACCTGGGTCTCTTCTGAAAATGAGGGGCAAGTTCTACCCTTCTGTTTTTTTAATTTTTATGTTGTTCATATTGTATATCACCTTTTGGTGGAGAAAATAGTCTCCAAGAGGTTTAGTAGCACAACGATATAAAAATGAAGGTAGCTTGCCAGGCAATAAAGACAACGCCGTCTGCTCTGCAGTGAAGAGTGAAGATCCCAGGGAGCCTCTTGATTCTGTCCCTGGAACAGTTTTTCCTGATTCTCCAGATGAAGCATTGTGGTGCTCTGGCGATTGTTTTTGTGTGATACTCAGTGACCTGGAAGGGGAGGAGAAAGCCAAATTGGATCAAAGATAATTTCACAGGCTCTCAAGTTCTCAAAGAAGGATCTGAGGGTTCTAACAATTTCTCCAGCTGTGGGGTTTTGGTTGCTCATTGTGATCGTGAGAATGCTTTAGGTTTCAAGTATCTAGCACCTTGGTTAGAAACTGCTTGATGTATGGTGAGGAGGGTGGCCTGGCCATACTTAAATTGCAGGCTTCAGGGTAGAAAAGCTTAATCTTTGGTTTAGGAAGCCTGAAAAGATTTTGGCAAAGCCTGCCCTTTGTCTCAGTGCCTGAAAGGGGGAAAAATAATTCGCTCTGTTTTAGAACTTCACTTCTCTGTATTTCTATAGTTTACATTAGCTTTAACACTGCCCAGATACCGTTTTTTTTTTTTTTGCAACTGCAAGGAAGAGCGGTGGTTTATTGTTTATACTTAAATCTCAAAAGTTAAGACTCAAAAATCTCAAGTTTCTTCAGCAAGTCACCAGGAGAGTTAAAATAGGAGCCTGAACAATTAGGTCTTTTGTTTTTTTGTTTTTGTTTTAATGTAACAAGTGTATTCTTTGCTTCCCACCACCTTTGCAGTCCCTCTGGTGTTGATTCTGCCCCCACCACTCCAGGGATCACTGATGGCTTTCTCACAGAGAACGACCTCACGTAGTTTGTCCTACAGGTTTTATCTTAGGCACCACGTGGGAAGCTTCCAGCATTCACCCAGCCCCCTTCCCCCTGCCTCCCACACAGTTATAGGCTAAGTAGGTCCTATTAAAATAGGAACTATGTCTGGTTCACTATAGGCCAAAGTCTAGCACAGTGGTCAGTATATAAGTAGGAGCATAATAAATAGTGACTGATGACAACTTCACGTTTTCAGAGATTATATTCATAGAAGAATTTATTCTAATAGTCTTAATTTCAAGAATCTAAAAATGTGAGTAGAAAAATTTTTTAATTGAAATATGGAAACATACAGAAAAGTTGGAAGTGTAATAGTATAGCCGTCCCCTAGGTCTACCAACTTTTAATATTTTAGCACAGGTCTATTATCTAATTTGTTTTGCTGAATCATTTGAAAGTAAATTGTGGCACTATGACACTTCATCCCTGAATACTTCACAACATTCAGCCTCCTAGAAATGATATTCTACGTAAAACTACAATGCTATTGCCACATCTAGGGCAATTCACGGTAACTCAGTAACATCTCGTATGATGGATCTGTATGGAATAAATCGCCCCTATTGTACCAAAGTGTCTTTGAAAATGTCTTTCCCTCACCCATGAGCCAGTCGAGCTCCATGCCTACGTTTGGTTATGTCTCTGTTTTCATCTGCAAGAGTCCTCGGCTTTTTATTTCCTCCCACGGCACGGGACCTTTTGAAGTATCCAAGCCGGCTGTGGAAGGTCCCATATCCAGGATTTCTTTCTAGTGGATTGCTTCGTAGTCTTGGATCACACTTCCTGGCAAGAAAACGCAGGCTGTGCGGTGTCTCTTCCTGCCTCCCGTCAGGAGGCACAGGACGCCAAGTGGCTCCACCATGGGATCAATCACTTGCTTAAGATCTACCGGATCTTTCTGTTTTAAAGTACATTTTTTCCCCTTTTGTTGAATAATTTGGGGAGTGCTACTGTGAGAATTTTAAACAATTGTACTCGTTAAGGGTCTACGTATGTCTAAGGCCCTGCTGAGTGTTCTGAAAAGGCCCTTAACACTAGAGGAATGTAACCAAGTCTGCAAACCCTAGCTCCCTAAGGCTGCGGTGCGCATTCTTGCCATTTACTGGCGTTTGGCTTTAACTGCTCCGTGGCTCCCGTGCAGAGGTAAAGGTGTGGATACGGTGCAGGGGTCATGTTCGGCTCATGAACGTAATGGTATCACCAGGGCGTAGGTGAATAAACAGTGGAATTAGAAGGCTTCATTCAGTTCAGATCTTGGTCTTGGTACCTAACAGCTTTATGAGCTCTGACGCGTTTTCTCTGGGCCCATTTCCTCCTTTCCAAACTGGAGGAAATAACGCAAACAGTTGTAGTAAGAATAAAGTGAGAGAATGCCTCATAGAGGACCTGGCCCGTGATGGGTACATTGTGATAGGTCTGTGTCATCATTTTCTCTTCATCTCTGGCACTGAGGTCTAGCTGGATAGAGTAGGAATGGTACTTTTTTCATTATCTATAGTCACCGTGAACACAGGTCTTAAACAGTGCCCATCAGGACACCCACCTCCTCCACAAAAGAAAAATCCCTAAAGCTTTCTTAGGTAGCAGTGCAGGGCGGAGAAAATGGGTTCACTACGAGACGGTCACGCTTGGCCAGCACCCGAGCCCCAGCCCTGGGAAGGGGCGTGCGGGCGCGAAGCCACGCCTGGGGCGTCTGAGCTGCACAAATGGCCGCGGCAGGCGCTCCGGGTGGCTTTTGAAGGGTAAAACTTGGCCCCGCTCCATCAGTGCTACGGAACCAATTCATAAACCGTGCTGCAATACAACTGCATACCCGTAGCCTCAAGGCCCACATCTCCAGCGGGTCGAAGCCAGGCCCACGACCCGCCGCGCCCGGCCTGCGCCAACAGCCCCGAGGGGGCGTCATTTAGTTCGCAGACATGCCGGCTCCTCCCCCACCTAAGCCGGTGCTGATGACAGGGCCCCCCGAATGCGTGATCCGGGGCTGCTTCTGGCTCCAGCAGCCTGAGGCTCAGCTGCTTAAACTTCCTGTGAGACAGACTTCAGTTGTCTTTCTCACGTTTTCTTGCTTTTCCAAATAAGCCAGTGATGAGGGATGCCGGAAGGACTTTGGCTGTTTCTAGAGCATGCTGGGTATGTCAGTCGGTCAATTGTTGAAAGGAAGAAATCTGTCATAGTTAAAAATGATTTTCATTTGCCGCTGAAGAACTAAAGCCGTTTCATATATTCCCAGTAAGTGAATTATTGAGAGGCCGCCATCTAGAACTGCAAGAACTAAGCCTCGTGCCCCTTCCCATTTTAACCAGCAGCTTTTCTACCCTGCCCGTGTGGCTTCCCTCTTCATCTGTTACTATACGGATGTCCACGAGGTGGTGCTAGTCACACGTACAATACTCGGAATATTTTAAGTTTTAGGATCACCCAGGTTAGCACCCTCATTTTACAGATGAAAATTTCCTAATGGTCAGAGGTGTAGAGCTAAAACTGGAGCTAAGGCATTCTTCGTCCACAGTCAGCTAACTAGTTATTTTAACTTAAATGCAAGCTTTTCAATGGTTATATTAATACATTTTTAAAATGTATTTTTTTATTGAAGTATCGTTGATACACAATCTTACATT